GATTAGGCAAATTCCACCTGGTCAGTGAGATCAGATTAGCTGAACATTCCTTGCGTGCTTTATAATTGCTGCAGTTAGTTAGATCAGGGCTGGGCAATAATTTTTGATGGGGGGGGGAGCACTCCAAGATTTTGGAAAGTAGTTGAGGGCTGCACTCTTCCATGATATTAATGGAGGAGGTATGGGGTCTGGGATGGTGGTTGGGTGCAGAAGGGATTTTGGGGTAAGGGAGTGGGGTGCAGGAGGGAGAATTGGGTGCAGGAGGCAGCTGTGACCAAGGGCAGAGAACTGGGTGCAGGGGTGTGGTTTGTGACCTAGGAGAGGGGACTGGAATGCAGGAGTTTGGGTTGTGACTTAGGGTGGATGGGGATTGTGAGCTGGGGCAGGGGATTGGGGTGCCAGGTCTGGGAGGGGTTATGGGTGCAGGAGGGGGGCAGAGGATTTGGGTATGTTGAGTGGGGGTTGGCAGAGGGTTAGGGAAGGGAGAGGCTGGGGTGCCAGAGGCAGGCTTTGGTCAGGAGACTTACCAGCCAGAAGCCCAACTAGCCTGTCTGCCTGCCTGCCGAGCTAAATGCTTGCAGAGCTTAAAACATTTCTCAGCCAGCCTGCCTGCCTGTCCCACACCTGCTCAGGCTGCAGGGTCATGTGCTCATGTGAATAATTGAGCTGGAGGGGAGGGGCTGTGGTGCTTCATGTGCTGTCTGTTATTCAAACAGGCAGCACCCATTGACTAATTTCTGGCCAGAAGCTGACCAATAGGATTCTGCTGAAGCCTTCCCCCTCGCCCCGGGATCACAGTTTTGAAAAAGAAACGACCCTGCAGCTGCTTTTCTGAGCGGTGTATGGGGCAAGCGGGGAGCCTGCCTGGGGCTCCCTGCTGCATCCGTGGGCTGGATCTGGTGGCTTGGTGAGCCAGATTCGGCCCACGGGTTGTATTTTGTCCAGGTCTGAGTTAGACTTAGTGGCCCTTCAGTGATCACTTCCAATCCATGCAGTAGCTTTCTGGACATAGCTAAGGTGCATCTAGGCCACTGGTGGGCAACCTGCAGCCTATGGACCACTAGCGGGCCACTGGGGGTTCACCTGTGGCCTGAGGACTCCCTGTCAGTCCTCTTCGCCCATGCACCTCTCTTGCACTGGGACACTGGAGTCCTGCACTTCCTACTCCTTCAGCTTCTTCCCAACACTTTCGGAGTGCCACAAATCCGCTGATTTGGGCTCCATCCCTGCTCCTCCACCCCAGAGAAAGGAACACTGTGAATCCGCTGATCGTGTAGTCCACTGAGATGAAGGAGGGTCACTCATGCAGCCAGCTCACTATTCTTGGTTTCCCATTGCTGACCTAGGCACTCTGAAATTATGTAGCCATGCAAATGGCTGAATAGGAACATAAGAATTGCCAGCCTGCATCAGAGTCAAAATCCATCGTATCCAGTGTCCAGCAATGGGTAGTACCAGATACTTCAACCAAAATCCATCGTGTCCAGCAATGGGTAGTACCAGATACTTCAAAGGAAGGTATAAGAAACTCATAGCAGGCAGATGTGGGTTTATCCACCTCATAGGCTCATCCTGATCTCTGAGAGCTAGACTTTGGCTTAAAACTTGAAGCAGGAGGTTTAATATCTTTTCCAATGTTTCTGCTATTATGATAATGCTGGGTATCTTGATAGCTATATACATATTTTTCTGAATCTTGTTACATTCTTGACCTCAACACCATACTGTGGCAGTGAGTTCTACAGTTTAATCACCTATTGTGTGAAATTTGCCGCATTTTAATTGTATTGAATGTAGCCTTGTTTTTGTATTATAAGACAAGGAGCTCCCAATCTAATTTCTCAAGGCCATTCATTTTTATCCTGTCCCTATTATTCATCTCTTTTCTAAGGATGCGGCTACACAGCAGGGCTTAACTTGAAAGAAGCTATGCAACTTGCGCTATATCAATTGCATAGCTTATTTTGAAATTGAAATTGGGAGCGTCTACACAGCACTTATTTCAAACTCGAGCACTCTTCCTCCAACTTCCCTTATGCCTCATACAATGAGGGTTACAGGAGTTGGAGTAAGAAGTCCTCCAGCTTGACAGTATTTCAGTATTATTTCAAAATAACTACGTACTAAGTTTTTTGAAATAATGTTGCTGTGTAGACATACTGTAAGAGAAACAATCCAAGTCTTTTCAGTCTCTTTCCATACAAGAACTCTCTCAGGCTTTTGATCACTTTAGTGAAAAGTGATCTTTCCGCACTCTTTTTCAGCAATAACCTTTTTGAGGTAAGGTGCCCAGCAGTCCACGCTGTGTTCAACAGCAGGCTGCACCACAGACTTATGTAATGGCATTTTCATATTTTCTATATTATAAGCTCCAAAGTATTGCATGTGCATCTTGTTTGCTTTTTTTTTTTTGCGTTATCGAAGGCTGGGCCAGACTAAAGCACTAAAGGAAAAGGCTACTTTTTTAACCCTGAAAAGAATATGACTCCATGCTTCATGTAAACAGACTTAGTTAGCAGTGATCAAGCTTAATTACTGGTCAAGGTACCACATAGCTTCCATCCATCTTTTTAGCCAATAGTAAATGTCTCTTTTTCCTCATGAAGGAGAGCCACAGGTATGAAGAGCAAGAGACGGAGGAGACGGGATGTTCGTAAGGATGACTGGATGTGACCGGGACCTGGGTGGCATTACAACTCTTGCTGAAGTGATAAGAAGTCCCTTTTGCATTTGAAAAACACATACAATCGTCTGCAAAACAGTAGCTACAGAAGGCCTCATAGACACAGTGCTGAAAAAGATGAGAGCAGCTAGGCTCTGTCAACACTTCCCCCAGGGGAAGCTGATGTGTAGAAACCTAGGCTCTGTCTACACTGGCGCCAGAGCTATGCAAATGAGGCTAAGCATGGAATATCGCCGAGCCTCATTTGCATATCTAATGAACCGCCATTTTTGCAGAAGAGGCTCTTGCGCAAGAAGGAGCTGTCTACACTGCCCCTTCTTGCGCAAGAAAAACCCTCTTGCACAATGCCATTACGCTGATTATTTTCAGGCATACTGGCATTGCGTAAGAGGGTTTTTCTTGCGCAAGAAGGGGCAGTGTAGACAGCTCCTTCTTGCGCAAGAGCCTCTTCTGCAAAAATGGCGGTTCATTAGATATGCAAATGAGGCTCGGCGATATTCCATGCTTAGCCTCATTTGCATAGCTCTGGCGCAAGATCGCGCCAGTGTAGACATAGCCCTAGAGTAGATACCCCTGGAAGAGGTGGGTAAAAGTACAAGAAAGATGGAAGCTAAAGTCGGGGGGATTACACCATAAAACTTTATATTAGTTGCTCTTCTTCATGCACTTCAGTCCTATGGCACCTTGGCATGTGGAGCTGATGCAAGGTGTAAAGAGGGGAGGGGAAGAGTTCGGTGTAAGGGCAAATGGGCCGAGTCCATTGCAGCCCAGACGTGAGTGAGGATAGCAATTCATCCCTTTCAGAGAGCTAAACTTTATTGGTAACTCAGAACCAAGAACATGGCAAAAACTTCATCCTATGCTGCCTCCCCATGACAGCTGGGACCTTCTTTGTTCTAGCTCTTTAGTTCCTCCCAACACACTTATATTCTGTCAAGTGGTCCCATTGGCAAACATGACCCAGTCGTAATGGCTGGATTTGAATGCATGAGATGAAATTGTGGTTCACACTGACTTGAATAGGGCCAGGATTTCACCTATGGTGTTAGCACCTGAGCCTAGAATAATTTGTTTGCAGAGTTGCTGCAGCTGTGCTGAGCCCATTAAGCTATTAGTGAAACAAGGTGTCTTTTATTACACCACATTCTGTTGATGCCCTGAAGAAAAGCTCTCTGTAACTTGAAAGCTGATCACTTTTATCACGAGAAGCTGGTCTAATAAAAGACTTTACCTCAGCCACCTTGTTTCCACAGGTTGACTGACAGAAGAGCTACATATCTCAATACAAGGCCTTAGGATATGATTCTAGGCCTCTGCCATTAGTCATTTTACAGGTGTGGAAAATTGGTGCACAATGCCAGCAGATTAGAGGGGTGGCATTTCACACCTCTGTTATACCATAGGTTGGACCTCCCTAGTCCGGTACCTTCGGGACCTGACTGGTTCCAAATAAGGATGTAAGCAAGTGCTTATGGGATAGTTGAGTAGCAACTCAACTACTTGCTTCCCTCCCCCCCACTTGCTGCCTCTATCCGAGAAAGGCAGCAAGAGTGGGAGCAGGAGCCCAGTGCTGGGGGTAGCTGGCTTTAAGCAGAGGACAGGGGAGGCAGAGGCACATCGGGAAAAGAGCGTGAGCAGGGACTGCTTCAGTCCTTGCTCGCACAGGTTCCCACTGCTGGCACTTCTACTTTTAAAATGTACAAGAGCCCTTTTCTTGCACATTTCAAAAGCAGAAGTGCCGCAGAGAGCACGGGGTGAGCAGGGACTCAAGCAGTTCCTGCTCACCCCATGCTCTCTGTGGCACCCCCCGCCCCCCATTGCTGCTTCTATGAGAAGCAGCAAGGGGGAGTGACAGGAGACAGTGCTGGGGGAGCTGGCTTAAAAGCCAATTTCCCCCAGCACAATCTCCAGGATGCTGCCTGGTCCCCCTCCACTGTCTCTCTCAGAGGCAGCAGGAGAGGGATAGGGGATGCTGCTGTGAAGCTGGGCTCCCCCCTCCCCACCGACAGGGGCTGTTGCTGCCAAGTAACCCGTGTTTGTGGCAGCCAGAGCTGGCCACGGACAGGGGCTACTGCTTGAGCAGCCCCTGCCTACGATCAGCCCTGGATGCCGTGAACAGAGGCTGCTGAACTCAGCGTGGGCCAGGTCTGATCAGTTCCGGCTCATGCTGATCACTGCACCTCTGCATTTTAATGTAGTTACAGCCCAGTGTCTCGTACTACATTTAAAATGCAGAGCTGTGGCACAGGTGGTTCTGGAGCTGGCACAGGCCGGGACTGCTCAGTTCCAGCTCCTGGAGCTACCCTCCCTGCAGCTCTGCAGACTGGCGCTTATCGACTAATCGTATAGTCGATACAAACTGTATGGACTATACGATTCGTCAGATAACCACATTTTAACATCCTTAGTTCTGGATGAGGGATCTACACCCCCTGCTATCGGACCCCCCTCCAAGCCATGGACCGGCCAGAGGCCCCACTACCCTACTGATCCCCACCTCCCTTTTGCCTTCCATGCTGGGCAGCCACACTCCCGGCCGCACCTGGCAGCCCCACTGCAGTACACTAGGCAACCCTGCTGAGCAGTCCTAGTGGGGTGTGTCGCGCAGTTCTGTTGCAGCACACCGGGCTTTCGAGAAGAATTTTAGCTCTTTCAAAGTTCATCAGGCACCTGGCTATTTTCTCATTCAGTGTTCTGCTTGGCTTGCTTTTGACATGTGGGCTAGCAGATGTAGAAGAAAGAAGGTAAAAAGGGGAGTAAACTGCAGCTGACCCTACGCTAACATTGTATGCGTGGGTGTGTGTTGGGATGTGCTGGGGGGTGTGTGTTGTTTTGAGAGAAGTGTTTTGGGGAGGAGGTTACATATTGCAGTTTTTCAGTGTTTTGAGATCAGCTGTGTGGGGTTTTTGAGCATATGTGCTTAATTCTGAACAGGAGTTGAAGCAGCAGCTGCACAGAGAAATAATTTAGGTGTCACCATGAAAACTGCTAGGGTGAATCATTTCAAGGATAGCCGTCCATTCATATTCTTCTCTCTTGGTCCCTCTCCCATTTGGCTCCACATGGGTCCCTCTGTTTCAACTGAAATCTGCCACTGCTCCACAGTGAGCTTAGTGTGACATGGAGAGATGAGCAACATGGATTCCAGGAGCTGTTGATACACTTCAGTAGAAATGACTGCCCATCATCTGAAATAAGTTCTCACTGGCTCAGTCTTTATAAATCCCACAATGACATTTTATGGCTCCACAACACTGGATTAACTCTTCTTACTAAAGTCTTTTGGACCATTATGATAACATTTCTTTTAGACACATTGCAGAGATGGGTCAAGTTTCGCCACTCACTGTGGCCCTGATCAATTATGAAGATGACACAATACTTACTATTAATTATTAATATGAATAATATATCACACTTCTTCACACTTTACAGACACTCCCTTATTAAAATAAAGCCATGTTTGGGGCAGTACAGTATAAAGTAGTTGTTCAGCATTAATTGACCTTGCTATCCAACCTTTTGGGAAAAGAAGTGAATAATATAAGATCTAGTTTAAACCATTGAGAAATGTACCCATAGACCAGTTAGAGACTTCTGATTGTAAAGTTCATTGAAAGATGGCTCCTGCAGGTGACATAGTGCCTTAACACAATGAGAGCACACTAGTTAAGTAGCAACTCACAAAAAATACCATCCCTAAATGAATCAGCCACGGTACTTAATTGGAGCGAGCTCCATCCACGCTCTGACAGTTACTGAAATGCCACAACATATACTCTTTCTGGTCAACTGAGAAGCTCCTTAACCTGCCAAGACCTGAAATTAGCCTTGCATTGCAACATAGGATGTTCTGAACACCTAACGCTGAATGGGCCATAGTGTTCCTGATATTGTTTTAGGGGCGCCACACTGTAGTAAAGGGGAAAAAAACCCTGAACTCTGAATTCAATTCAAGGCAGGTAAGTAAGGAGGCAACTGATGGCCAACTATTTTAACGGGTATTTATTTGTAAATCCTATGGGTGGGTTCTCAGTTGGCTTCAATGGAGCTATTCCGATTTAAATCAATTGAGGGGGCAGACCCTTTGTTTGCCTGTATATTCCATTAGTGCTTGGGGATGTTAGGGTCCATCCTACATCATTTGCACAATGCAAGCTCAATCAGCAATATCAAAAGAACAATGACTACCACGTAGCACTTTGCAGCTGTAGATTTCAAAGCATTTATGGGGAAAAGCAGGGATCACGATTCCCATTTCAGGACTGGAGACATCAAGGCACAGAGAGGTGAAATGTCTTGTTTGTGACCAGCCAGTGATTCAGTGTCAATGTCATGGCTACGATCCAATGCTCCTGATTCTCAGTCCAAGGCCCTACCCACCGAGACCTCTGGTCTTCATCGGTGGAATGCCCATCAGCTGTAACAGATGTTCTACATAAATGGCAGTTGCAGGATCTGGAATACAATAAGAATTCTGTGTGAACAACAGTCCCGTAAACTGCTTTAGCCATTTTTAATATCTCTATGTAAATTCATCCGTGTTGATGAGCCTTTGCAGCAGCCACGTTTGTCAGCCCCGCCTTCTCTCTGCATTCTGGCCAATGAACCATTGGATGGCAAGGGCTAGAGAATGATACAAGTGAAACTAGGAATGGCCGATGAGAAAGGTTGGCTCTCAATCTCTCACTCTTAAAATATCAGCGGTTGTATGAACTTAATATGGAGAGTGCTAGTTAGTTCCCAGTGACTGCGATTCACCTCACAAAGCCCACCCCCACTGCCAGCCATTGTTGTCCGTCTCAGCAGAGAGCCAGAATGCATGGACCATGGAGATTGAAGCCCATGGAGCTCGTCTAGGGCAGGGGTGAGGCCCAATGCTAGGGTACTACGAGGAAACCCGTCTCTGCCACCTGTACAGCAGTTGTTCTTTGGACCAACAGCAGACTTCAATCTCAGGGGGCTTCAACTCAGCACTTGTCAGGGCACTCAACAGACACACAACGTGAAAGAAAATGTTTCTTTGTGTCTCCAGCTAGAAACCTTCTTCAGGCCTGTAGCCAAATGACTGAGGAAGATGGATGGAGTCATTGATTTTTACCAGAGGGACTAAAGCCAGCCGTTCCTTAGTAACGGAGATGACAACTCTACTACTCTTGTGCTGGGTAGAAATGGATAAAGGGGCCAGCCTGGCCGGGGAGAGACAGTCTGATGGACCACTGTATGGAAATGCTGAGTGCGACATTCACCCCACCTGGCTGGCATGAGATGGAGACATGAAGCTTATATAAAAAGCACCCATCTACTTATCCATGGACTTGTTGAATAGCCTTGCCTGCAGTGTCCCTTGTGGAAGAAACAGAACTAAGTGGTAACAAATTGAAAGGAGACTTGTTATCAAAGCTGTAGGACACAGACCTAGTGGTTCTGTCTGGTTCGATAGCACCTTGATTGACCAAGACTACTGTGCTGCCTAGCATCACTGCACAGGGGAACTGTTAGGAACTTATAGTTCACTATATTACTCATTGCTAGTTTCCTTCACTAGCCATAAGGACTAGTGCTGTAGTCAGGTCCTGGTGTCAGGAAGCAACACTGATAAGACAAATGGCTATTCCATGGGATTGCTACATTACTGGTCCCTATGTGTCTG